ACTTTTATGCAATAAGTTGGACAAACTGACCTTAAAGTTCTATTTGTAAAATTAGCAATGTATAAAATGTAAAGACAAACTTGTAATTTAAAATGTATTTACAGCATTGACAGCACTAATTATTTAGTAGTCACACTGAAAACTTTTGTCAATAAACTGTGTGGTTGAAATGTAGTGTCACCTGTATATCTCTGCACAGAAAGTGTTTGATGAGCAAGTTTTCATTTTGATGGTTTCACTCTTTTGTATATTTTCCATTAAAAATAGTTAATTTTGCTTTTGTAAATGATGTGCATCTTCAGCTGTGTACCTGTGATGCTGTGCAGATTCACTATAATGTACATTTCTGAATATAGAGCTAGCTAATAGATTAATGCCTTTTATATGTAACTTGAAACTTGATGTGGTAAAAACTACTTTGATTAGTTAGGCAACTCCCATCATAGGAATACATTCTTTTGCCCCTCTACATTTCCTTCATCCAAGCAATCCAACAAACCAAATGGCAAAAGAAAAAAAGGCATATAAAACAAACAGATGCTGCAAGCAAACAGAAAATACACAAGCAACATATACAGTCATTAAAGGGCTTCTATGCATACTTATTTTTGTGAATAAATTATGCTTATAATTTATAAGCATAAAGACAGCTTAAGTTCTATATAATGATATTTTAAGTAATAAATTTTGGCTCAAATATTGTAATTGTTAATTATGAACCAAAATAGTGATACATAATAGTATATATATGTTTTATCAAAAAAAGATGTCAGATATTTGCAAAATTACTTGAAATTTTAATATTTTGCCTCGCACTTTTCAAAAAACGGTCTCCTTCAAGCAAGGGGACCTTCCTTTGTCAGTGTTTTATAGAGCTCTGTTCTGGATCCACTGGGCATTTTGAATGCATGAGGAATATGGGACTGTGTGAATGATCTTTCCTGGAAAAATGAAGCTAGCATTTAATACTGCAATAGACACTAGCTCTGTTGTTTGGGAGCAAGCCTATGTGATCTGCTGATCGTTCCCCTATACAGCAGAAACGGATATTGAAACAGTTAAACAGTCGACTTGACCATGGTTTACAAACACATATCAAGTCTTCTGTTAATAGAAGTTTTTTAATCTCTTAAACAAAGGCAAAAAAGATCCAATATATGGAAGCAGAAACTTGGACCACTTTAGGCTAAAATGGTGCAATTTTGTTTTCTTTGAAACAGTGAAGACGGTTTTGAAATAGTAGTCATCAGAACTACTAACCTAAGTGGTGGATAGCTGAAGTTAGATGTTTTCCGCAAAGAAATCATGGGTTTGAAACTGGTATTGCCTATTCAGCTTTCATGGTGTATTGCTAAAGCAGCCAGCCTGCTTCATCGTAACGGCTGCAATGGACTTTAATTTGTTTTATTCATGTATTAATATAGGGACACATTTTGCTACACTTGGGTACAGTCTCATAGACTCTAAAGGATTATTCAGAGTAAGTAAAGGCTGTAAAGTTTGCCATGGATTGTGAAATTCAGCCTAGCGGGGAAGACCCATCTGAGCTACTTCCTTTCCTCCCCGGAGGCTACATAATGGATTTGTTCTAGCATATGCTGCATAATAGGTTTGACCTCATAAAATGCTTAAACAACTTGACACACAGGAATAATTTCATTGAATGGGACTTAAAGTTTATGGAGTGTTAAGCATTTCACAGAGTGGCGGCCAGAGTGCAGCGAATCTTGCAGACAGGGCTCTAAGACTGTGGGAAAGATCAGGTGTAGCTAAGATGGCTGTACTGAACTAACTGTAAACCAGGTGAGGTGGGAATTATGCACGGTCTACAAATTGATTGACAAAAAAAAATTTATAATTTTTGTTAATGCAGCTGAAGTGACAGTAATAGCTGAATAGAGATGAAGGGAGCTGACCAGAATACAAGTCCTTGGACTGAAGTGGTTTTTGCCTGTGCTGGTACTTTCCAACACAAATGGATTTGGGTTACAGGTGCTAATAATGAATTTCCTTCTTAATGAAAAGGACCTATTGGCACTAGATGCTCCAAAGGTTTATAGGAAAATAGTCATTTTCTGACGCTTGCAAGCAGAACACGCATGGTATTCTGATGCACAATTTCAGAGACTAACTAACTAGTTTGTTTGGAAGGGTTAGATATATGCTTCAATTAGAAGGGAGAAAATAGCTTGTTATCAGAAGTCACATTTACACACTACTTGCTTTACTCTCACGCTTTTTAAACACAGTAGGTTTAATGCTTCTATTTGTAATACTAGAGTTAATTTACACTAATTTTACTAGAGTGACACTGAGCTAAAAATAAATCAAAATGAAAGAAGAATCACACTCAGTAAATTGATTATCATCATTCACAGACTTTATGCACAAAATATGCTGCCATTAGCTGGTATCAGCATGCATGAAAACTAAACCTTCTATGGGCAAAGAATAATAATTAGTGGCATGAATTAGATCAGCCATTTCTTGTTTTTCTGTACTATGGGTTTCTTAAGCATGTATCTCCAAAACGTTTCAAAACTCTTCAGTGCTAAGAAAAACATTACATGCACTTACAAGAATTTCTGAGGGATGCTATTTCAACTAGGTACATGGTATGATAAAAGACTTGGTAAACTAATCGTGTTTTTGTAATACTAATCCCACTGGAATTAAAGAAAATGACAATTCCGAAATTTTTATTATTGTTGCTACTATTCATTTCAAGTTTGAAGCAGCATTAAGGACAGGGAGTCAATTTTTGGAGCTGTTGTCCCTGGTGTGAGAACGGGTGCGCTGGCTTGGACAGCGCTCCTCGGAACGCAGCTGCTCCTCCGCAGCGGAGCGGACTGCTGCTCACCACGACAAAAACGCTCAGGTTTGCAAAGAAGAGAAAGGCATTTCTTTCCTCCCCTCCATTTCGCGCTTGTGACAGTGCACCTATTCACGGGGCTGCAGTACAAATCAGATCAGTGAAACGATCCACTTTAAAAATAACATTTGCCGGATAAAGGAAGGAGGGAAAGGACTGGAAAGGGAACCCGGGTCATTATAACCTGTATTATAACCGGAATCATTTCAATGGCTTCACGACCGCCAGCGCAGCAGAGGTGGCGTACGGCACACCGCACAGTGCGATCTCCTGAAGCCCCCTCTACCGTTAGGGCCAGGCGATCATGAAACTAACAGCGTGCATCCATTACTGAATGTGCCTTGAGACTACAAACTCTACCAAATAAATTCAATATTTAGTGCACATATAGAGTAAATTATCCATCTATAATCAAGGCTCAACTTAGGTATGGATATATTGATTTTTATTCTGTGGGTTAGCACTGTTGCGGAAAAAAATGTCTGCTCATATGACAGCCAAAGGATACTGCATGTATCGCCGCGGTCTAAAAAAATGAGATTGTTTCCTTATTCACGCTCTACCATTGCTCTCGTACTGCGCAGTTCTCCGCTTTCAAAATATGGTATCAGTACCAGAAGCACTGCTGGGCTCTGCTGCAGGTCACTAAACTGCAGACTCCCATACTGCCTTTTCTGAAGTTTGTTTTTAACTCTTTCTGTGCTTCACATGGTAACTAGGGGAGGCATCTGAAGATAACTGGTTTTACCTTTTTAAAAATAATTTTCTACTTTTTCATCAGTTTACCACAGTAATATAAGAATTCTTGGGTGCTCCTGTGAAATGCTATTTCTGATACCTCCCTTTTTGATGGATTAAAAAACTAGAATGAGGGGTTATATATCTTCCTTTGAAAGTAATCCCTAGCATTGGCAACCAATCACTTCAACAAAGCTTCTTCATTTAATGGCAAAGTTTATTCTTTTTTTTTTTAACAATTAAAAGACAAAACATTTAAAATTTGCAGTTCAAAACATGCACAGTCACCAAATGCCAAATGACATGTAACACTGCATAGAACTGAATGTGCTACTAAGAGAGAATAACTATTTATAAAACACAGTGCATTTAACATCCAGTTAAAACTAAACCTGAGAAACTACCATAAACACTGAGTCAAAAAGTCTTCTTTCATGCAGCTTCATAAGTTCCACAACATAAGTTTCAGCAGTAATGGTTTAGGGGAGCTGGCAAACCTCACTTTTCCTTGACTGCAAACTTTGCTTGGACATAGTAACTGCTTTCTGCAGCAGTTTATACATATCAAACACTGAAAAACTTGATGAAAAGTTAAGTTGAAGTAGAAAAACAATATTAATACATTTATGGCTTCTATTTCTACAATAAGGAAACCCCATAAAACATGATTTTAAACAAACTTACTCTGGTCACAGCTTTGCAATTACAAATCACTCTATACAAGGAAAAGCTTTCATTTAAGTTAAAGTACCAGCCCTCCAAAGTGCCCACCGTTGCACATCGTAACTCAGACGAGTAGTCCTTATACTTGCAACCCGTCCAAAGGAAGCCTATGCGAGTAAGGGTTTGCAGAAGCAGGAACAAGGTTTGGAATGCTAAGATATTCCTTTGTTTAATGAAGATCTTTTGGTTAACAGAGAACCAACTGGGGGACTGAGGGCAGAGGGGGGAAGGAGAAACTCACTTGCTGAGTTTCGCTACCAGTGAACACATCCAGTATCAAAAAAATTGAACTGACAAACTCATTTGCTTATATGTCACTAGCTTCCGAATATATTATGAAGATACTTTTAACGAAGGCATTAAAAAAAGGGAACAGCAACCCACCATGCATTGCCTCAGAACACTTAAAAACATCATTTCATGCAGACAGATAAATTCAGCAGAACTGCAAGTGCTTTTACACAATATGCAAGAAGAAAAAAGTGAAAATTTCTCTCCTTAAATTCAACACGCATTCCAAATTACCAACTGTTCAAGATGGGTTTAAATATAATGAAAGAAGTCTTATGACATTTAATACATATCTTTGTAACACGGTGGACTTTCTGGATGTACATGGACATATAGGAA